CTATAAAATCTAAAATATTTCTTTATATTTTAAAAACTTACAAAACAGTATATATAATAATCTCTATTCTTTAGTTAGTTTAATTTTAAATTTATATACTATAAGAAAATAAATAATAGTAAAGTAGATACTCTATTAAAACGCGACTAAAATATCCTTTTAAATAATAATAAATATATAAAAAACCGTGTAATACAGGTTTTTTTAAAAAAAAACCGGCTAATAAAGATTTTATTTATAGTTTTAGAAACAGCCCCCTTATATAAAAAAGAATAAAACTAATAAAATAAAGTAAAGAACTAAAATCTATAATATTAAAAGATTATAACCTATCTATAGAAAAATAAAAAAAAGCTCTCTGCGTATATACAGGTAAAAGTCTCCCTAATAAAATATCGGCTTAACTAATAAAGCTTTATATAATTCCGCGGCAAATAATAGACTTCTAATTATAAACTACTCTATATAAGCCTAATCTAGTAAGCCTATAATTCTCTAGTTTTCAGCTATTTTAAAAAAGAATAAATATACTAATTTATTAGTTAAAAGTACTTCTAGCCTAATATAGCTAAGGATATCTAATAATTTATATAGAATTACAATATTTATAGTAGATTAAAAATATAGAAAAACTAGTAAAAAAGCTTTTTAAAGTCTTTTTCTATATTTAATAAGCCCTAACAAAAGCTCTCTATAAACTTTATTATAAATTTTCCTAAAAATAATAGCAGAACTATTATTCTAATAGTTACCGATTAGTTAACTAAGAAAATTATTTTTAAAGAAATAGCCGAAATAAACTTAGAATAAGTAGTCTAGATATTTATATAACAGATTATTAGTAGATATAAATCTTTTAAAGTATTATCTCTAACTAAGGCCCTTAGTTTATTAGCTTAGTATAGTCTTATATCTATACCTTAATAGAAATCTAATAATACCTATTAACAACGTACTATCTACAAATAAATAAAGCTACTAAGCGTATAAATAGTACAGTTAAAATTTATTTATATATCTATTCCTACTACAATTAGTATAATTAAAATCTACTATTTCTATTAGTTAAATTTATATTAAATACTTATATAACAGCTACAACTAAGACTAGCTTATTTTTTTAGCTATAGTTTCTATCTAACTTCTTTCGTATCTATAAAAAATTTAGATATTTTAGCAGATAAACCTACTAGAAGCCTAATATAAAAAAACAAAATTATTATACGGAAAATTACCGAAGCTCTTAGCTAAGTCTAAATATCAGCCGTCTATATATAACAGAAAACAGAAAAATAAATAAATAAATAAAAAAGCTTAGCTTTTACATACAAGAAGAATAATAAAATCTAGCCTAGTTTATAAAATATTACTACTAATAAGCCTAATAAAAAGCTAGATTAGAAAAATATAAAATATACTATCTTTAAAATAATAAATATTTATACTATATATTTTAATACGCCTTTAAAAATCTATCTAATTTTCTATATTAATCTTCTCTAACCAGTAGCTACTAATCTATTTCTATTATAATAGTTTAATAATCTCTAACTACTAGTAATTTAAATAGATAAAAAAATAAATACTAAATTAAAAAGATCTTTAAAAAACGCCGCGTATAACAAAAAAAGAAACTTAACTCTAATATAAAATAAAATAAACCGGCTATATTTAACTAATCTAAAAACTAGCTGTAGCTCTCTAAAACTACTAAATACTAGACTACTAGCTTATATATATATAAGATATTTAAAATTCGGCCTTCTTAGAGTAGTACTATAAAAAAAAAGAGCTATTATTATAGATTCTATAGATCTAGTACAGACTATAAATTCTATAAACTCTATATAAATTATAAATTAGAGCTCGGTAGGACCTTGTATATAAAGATTCTAAGAAAAGCTTCTTTACAAACTCTCAGCTCTAGAGACTATAAGTTATTCTACTACTATACACCGCCTTACTTCCTTTTATTTATTAATATGTAATCGCTACTCGACTTCTTATTCCTTAACTATTCTTTCTTATTCATACAGCACGCTTAGATAGGAAGATCTATCTCTGTTCGTCCCATAACAATATCTACTATAATTAGCTATACTAAGAAATCTAAAAAAGTTCTATTTAGATTAAATAAAATTTAATTAATTAAATAATTACTAATAGTTTAACTAAATATTTAATTTATTAGAAATATTAGAAAATTATAAAATATCTAAAATATAAAAAATATTTCTAAATTACTATTTTAATCTTATTTTTTATAGAAAGTCTATTTAGAAGTAGAATTTAATTAACTATCTAGAAGCTCTGTATATTTTACTATTTTAATATTAGAATTTAGAAAGATATATTAAATAGTAAAGATGGTTATTTTAGATAGATATTTAGTTAGTATTTTTAGGTACTTAGATTAGGTAGCTACTATTATCTAGATAATAGTTAGATTAATTCTATTAGTTATTAATTATAATTTCTATTATTTTACTATATTCTTTCTAATTTTACTATATTATCTGTTTATATTATTACTTACGTTATTTTCTAGTGTTTTTATATTATTTCTAATTCTAATTATTAATGGCCTGTTTCTAGAAGACTCTAGGCCTAGAGCTATATAACTTAACCGCTGTATTTTAACTGTAATCTAATTATACTAAGTTAGTTAAATTATAAAAAAGATTTTTAATCTACCTGCGCTACCGGTATTTAACTATAGTTAATTATTTTGCTGCTAAGAATTGCTAAAAAACCTAAATAAATAATTTTATTATTTTATTAGATTTGCGGTCTAAAGTAACAGAAAATTTAGATAAGAATTAGGCAGAGATTAGATAGAAAATTATCTAAATAAATTGAGTATAGTTAAGAATAGTTAATTATAGTAAACTGATTAGATTAGATAGAAAATTATCTAAATAAATTGAGTATAGTTAAGAATAGTTAATTATAGTAAACTGATTAGATTAGATAGAAAGTTTTAATTTACCCGCGCTACCGCGGGTAGGCTAATTTTTTTCTATAATCTATCTTAACCTAACTGTAAGCAAGTCTAGTAAAGTAAAAATAGATTTATAACTATTAGTCTATAAATATCTAAAAGATCACTAATTTATTACTAAAATAAAACTAAAATAAGGACTTAAATTTTCCAAAATTTAGTAATATAATAACTTCTTCTAAACTTTTATTCTAATTTTTTTTTGATTATATAGTCTGTAGGTGAGGTATTAAGGGCTAAACGCTATATCTATTTTATATAGACGGTGAAACCATAGCAACCCATACAGCACAGCTTGGATTGACAGATAGCTATATAGTAGACTATGTTTTGTAATATTTCCGCTCTTCTGTTCAGATATTTCATGGATTTATACAGGCTTTATAGGTGTGTAGGCACTAGATTCATGCTCTATTGAGTAAAATGCCTGTATAGCTAATCGCTTTAATAGATAGGCTTCAACAGGCTAATAGAATCTTAACCACTGCTGTAATGTCTCATATTAAGACAACCCGGAGGATGGGCTTAAACCACCTTAAAAGCCTCATTGCCTAGCTAATGAAACCCATCAGCGACAGCTCCTCCCGGAAGAAATGCCTGCACGGCATCATTTTCTCCGTGGTACAGCTGCAGATACAGGCAAATAGATGGACACTCCACTCTAGCCCTAAGTTCAATCCACCATATACTGCGACTTGTTTTCCTGTACCATAGGTAGAGCAACACCAGTGCTGCAGGGTCCCTTGCCCGAAGGAACTCTTTGAAGGGGCCGTGAATACTCCGCGTGAAGAGTTGAGTATGCCCAGTTGTGACCTCGCCATCGGGGAGGACCAGGATCTGGGATACGGCGTGAGCGGCATGGAAATACGGATTCGTTTCGGCCGTAGATGAGTCTCTGAGTTTACAGACGGCAGCCAGGTTCCCTGGTATACCACCTATGCCACTCTCTGGCAATGGTGATTACATCTGAGCAAAAGTCCCCGCCATGACGCGGAAAAGGCTGTCTGGTCGAAGTGGGTTCACCATATGCCACAATGACATTTTGCCGTTTGTCATAAGTAACCAGTCCAAGTCAGAGGAGCCAGATGATTTTAGAGGCCATGCTTCTTCCGGTGTGCGTGCATCGGGGGACGAGAAGGTTAAAACGACCAGAGCAGCCGCAGTCCCCCAGATTGGATCCTTGTCTTTCGCTTCAATTGGTTCCTTTAGCCGCTTGTTCAAGAGAACCGTGCTCTTATACCAGTGTTAACACTCTTCTGAAGTGCGACGACAGTCTAAGGAGCCATTCAGATGACGGTCATACGTAAGAGCCACAGCCAGAGAGGCGTGCATTAGGAAAGGGTACTGTGACTATGCGTTAGCCAAGTCCATGATCGTGCTAGGTAATCCGGCTTTCATTCTGTCTGGCGGAATAGAATTGATATATGACTACTTACAGAGAAAGCTAATTCCAACAGCTTGCTATTCACTTGGATCATGTTAGGATCATTTGGGGTAATGAGACTTCGTCCAAGATACCGATTGATAAAATCTTGACACCTTGCGTTCAATTGATAGGATGTTGATGCGTCTGATGTCCAGACAGCATTTGTCAGAAGGGGCTGAAGCTCTTCCTTTCCTCGGACCTCAGCGGCGACAGGCTGGAGGTCGGGGATGTTACTAGACATGAAGTTGCATAGTACATCGAATGAAATACATCTCTTGCACTGTGGTTTGCCTTCGTCGCACTAGTAGGCCAGGAATATTCGGTGAGCCAAGGAGCAGTTTGTTGCAGCTAGGGCCACCTACCTTCAGTTTTCGAAGCTTGCAATTTCGACAGCCAAATCTCGACCTCCGTAGAGTCCTACCCTTGCGCACCTCTCTTGGACAAGACGAAGCCATGCCTGAATTACTCAATCCCTTGTACGGCTGCGAGAGATTTTTCCCCAGTCAGACGATTCAATGCTGGAGGATTATCCGGAAGATGTGGAGAGGTCATGGCCTCGCGACACTAAGTACATACGGAGTACTGCGGAGTAGTACTCGTAGTTCTCATCGCCACAGGCACACAAGCCGAAACCCACATTCAGATGCTCCACCTGCCGCGCTAACTGTTTTTCGGGTATAGAGTTCTCTGATTGGCTGTGAGTGCTACCATCGACAGAGTATGTCTAGACCAGCACAAGATAATGCGTCACTGCACCTAAGAAGATTGAAACTCGGAATGAAAGCCAGACGTATAAGAAGAAGGACATGTGTCGAGATCCTACGACGAAAATCTCCTGTCAGTGGTATTCAAAGCATAGATCTTTGTTGAATTCAGACTCGCCTTGTATCTTTCTACGCCCCGAAAGCCTTTACTTGGATATACTACCAGTCCAGAATGGCCACCCATCTCGCCGCTGTCTCCCTTGCAAAAGGTGAACCCTTCGAGGTCCAAACCCGACCCACGCCGAAACCAGGCCCGGGCGAACTCCTCATCGAGGTCAAATCCGTAGCTCTCAACCCGGCAGACGGCATCATGCGGGCTCAAGGCCTCTTTATACCCGCCTACCCCACGGTCATCGGCTTCGATATTTCGGGGCTAGTCATCGAGGTTGGCGAGAATGTCCCCGTTGGGGCCACCGATGAAGGCCTGGGGCCTGTTTTCCGACCAGGATTCACCCGCGTCGCCGCCTATGCCGCCTCCGTCTGGAGGTCCTGTGCCCCTGACTACGGCGCCTTTCAGGAGCGGTGCCTCGTTCCCTGGCAGCATGCACTGCCCCTTCCAGATGAGGGTATTTCTTGGAACCAAGCCGCGACCTTGCCCGTAGCCGTGGAGGTACCCCTTAACGCGTGGGATCTTATGGGGGTTTCCCGGATGGGAGAAGCCATTGTTTCTTCTTCCAGCTCCGCTGTTTCAGCTGGTGCCGATACTAGCGGAGAGGTTCAGCAAAATAAGGAACATAAAAGAGACGTCCTGTTGATCTGGGGTGCTTCCTCTAGCGTCGGCACGATGGGCGTGCAGACCGCCCGACTCCTGCGGGAAGATCGCGACTCTTCCTTCGCCGCCGTGTACGCCACAGCCGGTGCGGCGAACCGGAAGTATGTCGGCACCCTCGGCGCGGATCGCGTTTTCGATTACAAAGAGCCGCAGGTTGTGGATGCGATTGTTTCGGCAGCCAGAGAGGATGGCCTAGTTATTCGGCACTGCTTTCTTGCCACAGGACAGCTGGCGCAGTGCCAGGCCGTGCTAAAGGCCTTCATCGGAAAGGATCAAGGGCGAGAGGGCCAGAAGGCGAAGATTGGGTCGGCTCCGGTCATTCCCTCAGGTGCGGAGGAGATTGACGGGATAGAAACCATCTTTGTGGTGCCGCCAACAGACGAAAGCGAGAGGTTGGCTCAATATCAGTATTGGTTAGGGACGTGGGCGAGGAAGAACCTGGCTAACGGGACTATTAGGCCGAGTCCGGAGCCGAGGGTTGTGGGAAAGGGTCTAGAGGCTATTAACGCTGGGCTGGATGAGCTACTCCGGGGTGTGAGTTGCACAAAGTTGGTTGTGCAGGTTTCAGGGTAGGAGTCCTTGATGGATGTGGCACATGTCTCCAGATATGTACATATCTACATAGGTACCTAGGTACCATTGTTGTTCAGTCCATTGACCGTGTATACACTCCGTAGAGGATGGCTGGTCAACCAATCATGCCCCAGACCGATCGGCTTATCAATCACGATGGCGCTAAACCTAAAAAGTACTTGTCACCCTCGGCTAACGGCAACTTCAAACATTATCAGAACATCGCCCCCACCCCTCTCTATCAATGACAAGGCTGGCTCTGTTTTCTTTTCAGACTCGTGGCAACACACCATTACTTGACCCCAAGGCGTCAAAACATACCGCAGATTAACTTGACAGGACAGCGGCTGGTTAATTTCCTCCCAGATCGACAATCGCCTCATCTCACAGCAATTGAACATGTCGTTCTCAAACCTCGTCTCTGATCTCGCGTTCAGAGACACCCACGATGACCGCAGCTCTCAGATATCGCACGTACGATCCCAAGCCACTGCGAGATCCTGTACGAGCACGACCGCGACCAGTGTCAGCATATCGGGCGACATCTCAAGCCAGCTTCATTCTGGCTACAGCCACCCGCTGAGCAGATCATGGCAAGCTGAGAGGCAATTGACCAAGGTGTGTAGCCTTCACATGGTCACAACCTCATGACGTACTTAATTCCTAACTCCGTCGCAGGAGATGCTGATTTACCCCCTTTTCATCACCGACAACCCCGACGAGGAAACACCCATTCCCTCGTTACCGAATCAATATCGTCGCGGCCTGAACCGCCTCGTCCCCTACCTCAAGCCCCTTGTACAAAAGGGTTTGCGTTCCGTGATCCTGTTTGGCGTTCCTTTGCATCCATCTGCAAAGGATGCGCTGGGAACAGCTGCAGACGATCCTTCCGGGCCCGTCGTCCAGGCAATTCGTCTCCTCCGATCGCGATTCCCACAGCTTTACATCGTGACGGATGTATGTCTCTGCGAATACACCTCCCATGGCCACTGCGGAATCCTCCGCGAGGATGGGACGCTCGACAACGCACAATCCGTTGATCGGATCTCCGACGTTGCCATTGCGTACGCTGCAGCCGGAGCGCATTGCGTCGCCCCCTCAGACATGAACGATGGACGAGTCCGCGCGATTAAACTCAAGCTGATTGAAGCCGGCATGGCGCATCGCGTTCTCCTGATGTCCTACAGCGCGAAATTCAGCGGCTGCTTGTACGGTCCTTTCCGCGATGCCGCGGGCTCTGTTCCGTCTTTCGGCGATCGCCGATGCTACCAGCTGCCCCCTGGTGGTCGTGGGCTCGCGCGGCGCGCAATCAAGAGAGATATCGGGGAGGGTGCGGATATTATCATGGTCAAGCCTGCCAGTAGTTACCTGGACATCATCCGTGATGCCCAAAGATCTCGCGCAGGATCTCCCCATCGCCGCCTACCAGGTCAGTGGCGAGTATGCGATGATCCATGCCGGCGCTAAAGCCGGTGTTTTCGACCTGAAGGCCATGGCGTTTGAAAGCACCGAGGGGATTCTGCGAGCCGGCGCAGGCATCGTTGTGAGCTACTTTGTGCCCGAGTTTTTGGACTGGCTATCCTAGATATGCCTCGCTTTTGTGTTTTGCATTAACATAGCACTAACATAGTAGTCACGGGCTGGGCTATGTTGTACATACGGTGCTCATTTGGGACGGACGAAGCAGGTACTTTGATAATCGGCGTTATGTATGGATAGGTATAATAAAAGATACTCCCCACTATAATATGATTCGATTTGCAGCCCGATTTTGAGTGATACATGATAGCGAATAGGTACAAAGTCGGAATTGAACAACCTCTCCACGTACAACAGGTACTCCTCATCCTGGTGACTTGTTTACATGTCGGACACCGAAGTAGAAGACCGAGGACAGCGGTATAAGGCATACAATTACTAGAGCAGCTAGGTTGGGGCAATGGATAAGAGAAAGTGTCATTATATTTCGCCTAGGATCTCGTCTTCCGAACCTGTCAGGCGTTTAAAATAGGAAGTGCGTGAGAAGAGGTATCTCGTGTAATACATATTTGGAACTCGGGAGCATGATCGTGGTGAAAAACAAAAGAAACAAACAAAAGCTGCAACTGCATTAGGGGGAATAAGAAAAGCTCACATGTGACGACGATGCTGTTGAAAGGAAATGCTTAGAAGGATGGGGCTGAATAGGACTAAAGTCATGGTATAGTTAAACACAGGAAGGGGAAAGGGGAAGGGGGAAGGGGAAACGGTTTTGGGTCTTCATTGAGGCGACGAATTGCTACATGTAGCTTGGTTTCAGTCCTTGGAAGCCATAGGCCACAATGTCGGATTTCACCACCTCTCCTGGAGCCACATACGCTCCACGCCGGAGCCGAACACCGGGGTATATCGTGCATCCCGCACCCACATAGCAATCTTCCTCGATGGTAACAGGGCGGCCCTGGTGGCGGCTCTGGGACCCTTTGCGCTCTTGCATGTTTGCATGCGCCATTGAACTAAGGATAGTAACCCGAGGGCCTATCCATGTATGTGCACCGATCGTGATAGTACAATCATCCACAAAAAGACAGCTCTCGGATATCATGACATCTTCGCCGATATGCACATTATAGCCGTAATGACACTGGAAGGGCGATTCGACCACCGCGCCCTGTCCAATGGACCCCGAAGGGCGAGGCGAGCCTGATGGTGAGTTGGCAGCCGCATTCGGCGGCACAAAGATTTCCTTCAATAGGCGATTTTGCTCTTTGGCGCTGAGACCAGAGATCGGATTGCAAGCATTATTAAACCTCCACAAAGCAGCTTTACATCGATCTCGTTCCTCCACGAGGTGGATGTCGAATGGTCGGTAAAGCTCACCACGCATCATTTTCTCCTTCTCTGACTCTTCACCGGAAACGGCACGCGCCGAGAGTTGATGCTCAATGCTCAATGCCATTCGTGCCTGGGCCTGTGGCGTGTTTGTATCCATAGCGCTTGTGTTTGTCAGAGCCGGTCGTTGGTCGATCCCACTTTGGAATAGCGGCATTGCCGGCTTGCTATGGGCGCTATGGGAGAGTTCTCGAATGGGTGGGACTATTTGATAATCTGCCTTGGGATGACTGTCGCGGGGAAGTTCATGGATTGAGGGGACCTCCCGATAGTCTGGTTTGGTGACATGGTCCGTGGCAAACGGTGGGTGGCCTGTGTTCGGCCACGTCCGCTTTGACCATGACCCGCGATTCGAGCCCACTCCCGTTGGGCTCGAGTTGAACTGTGCGGCCGCGCGATCGGCATCTTCCACAACGATTGGCCTCATTTTTCCCGCCTCGAGGTGATCTGACAAGCTTTGCTGTCGATCATGTTGATTGACTTCGTGCACATATTGGTTTCCAATGTCTGCATATCCATCCTTGGATTGTAAAGGGACTGGAGCTTTCGCATTCGAGGGTTTTTGCCATGTTCCCCGCGAAGAATATCCCTCACAGAGAAAACCTCCTCGTATACAGTTGTTGCCTGCTTTGTATCAGACTCTGTCTCTGTAGGTGGTGCGGAGGGAGAAGGGCGATCATGAAGGAACTTACATGCAGGATGTTGCTCATCGCACTTTTTCTTTCTCCTTCGGCACGTCATACACCCCGTCTTGGTTCTGTTGCTAAACACGCGTTTCCTTTTGGGAGCCACGGGCTGCGGTCGTTCTTGAGGCGCAGCAGCTACGGCACCGGGCTGATCATTGGTCAATGATCCTTCGGAGCGAGCCGGTGTGCCCCAGTTCTTTGGGGGTGTATCATGACCTCCAGCTTCACGTTGTAGAACCTCTGCGAGCTGCGCATCCGACGCGTCAATTTGCTGTGCGCGTTGCGCTTGATTAACGAGCTGGGAGTCGTATTCATTCCAGGGAACATTGGTCGGCGAAGGGCGTGTTTCCTCATTTTCCGACAATCTCAGGGGCGCAGCAGATGTGCTGGGAGGTTTGGAGTTTTGCTCGAGAGTCGTTATTCCCACGCCGTTCGGGGATTGTTGTTGTTGCGTAGGGGGTTCTGACATGTCTTCTAAGCGAGAGGGACTCTTGATGTCCCTGTTCGGGGGACGAGGCGTGTTTTCCGGTTCGTCGCACTCCGACCTTTTTCGTTTGCCTCTGTTCGTGGCTGCAGGGCCGCCCAGTGACGATGATTGCGAAGTCGCATCCTGATCATTTCCCAGACTGCCATTTTCTCTGTTGTGTTCCTCGTATGCGGCCTTTCCGCGGCTCCCCGCGGGGTCGACATGTCCACCGTTGTTCAATGAGCTGCCGGGTATCGCGGGGACGGCCGACGGCTCCGTTGTTAAGGAGTCCTTGCCGTTGACGGCGGTAAACCGAGAGGGACTGTGCTCCGCCCTGGTATCTTTCGCCGGCTCATGGTCATTCCCAATTGCCGCGGAGTTGGCTGGAGTCATGGTATGGGTGGTTCCAGGGGAAATCGTCCGATGGCGGCGTTGTATGCGCGCTTTGGCGACTCTACCGACCGCTAGACTGTGGGTCGAAAAATGTCCAACGTTCGCGGAGAGGAATCAGTCACTGCGTGCAATGGTAGACCGTCACCAATGCTCAGACGGGAGGCATGGGTGTAAATAATGTTGCGCCACCAAATGTGCGTCTCCAAGAACCGTGGAAGGATCGCGCGCTTCTTCAATCTAAGCCGCCGAACAGATAAATAAAAGAAATCGAGGAGCAGAGAGCGCAACCGACTTGCGAAATCGGGAGGAAAAGGAGGAGAGGGGAAAGGGGAGTGGGAGTTTAGCCGGCTCGGGGAGTGGACTGGAGAGCACGACAAGGGGAATTCTGGAATACGCAGCCGCGCGGGAGGAATATATTGAACAAATCGAACAAGGGTATATAAGACGGGAGGGATATGGGGAAAATGGAGAACGAAGGCGTTTAAACGGATTGACGTATGCTATCTGATCTGATCCGGCGGTCGGTAACAAATGAAGATGGCCGAGAGACGCGGAGCTAGGTAGGTGAACCACCTATCGCGATAATCGGGGAGGCAAGCCTTCGGTACAAGGCGAGACTAAATTCGAAAGGGACGGGGAATGGAGGGAGGGAGGGAAGGAGGTAGAGAAGAGGAAGAGAGGGGGGCGACGAAGAAGTACTACTAGTCGTAGTCGGAGTGGGAGGGATGAAGGATAAGCGATAGAACGAACATGGGCTGGCTCGTTGCCGTTCAGCAGGGGAAAACGTGAGACTAGACTATTTCGACCCAGAGCCCAATGGTATACCGGCAGGAGGGAGCCCCCTCCCGCCCCCTCAGAAAAAGAAACGAGCGCGAAAAATCAAATCAATAAACAGAATGGACTGCAGGACTTTACCAATGCATTGGATGTATGTTCTCTTATCTAGGTCATTGTCCTTGGAGAACTACTGTCTTAACACTGTCAACGGTCATACCCGCACGGTGATAACTGTAATAACATCCATGATAAATAAGTACCGGATGAAAGTAGGACGCTTTGGACAGAGGGCGGCTGTCAGCTTCATTGGTTGGATGTTGGCGCGCAGTCGGGCGGTACGGAACAATTAGTTTGGATCACCGTCGGAATGGCCGCCTGTGGTTGGTGCAGGAGAGGGCGCGAGTCACAGAACGGGGCGGTGATGGCGCGCTCAGGCGACACGCCACGCCTCGAAAGGAGGGTCAGAACGCCCGGGTGATGGGGTCCGGACCTGCCGTTTGCTCTATCCGCGAGGGAAGCGCGGCACGGCGGCCGAGGGAGGCACCCCCGGTGGGTCGAGCTGAATCGAGAGCCGACCATTGATGTTGGGCAGACGCAGCCCCCGCTTACCCGGGTCGCTTACCGGGTTTCCTGCCATCCTTCCGCCTCGATTATTCGCAATTGGCGCCGTGCGATCTGATCATTTCCCCAATTGTCTCCCCTTTTCTTTGTCATAATATTGTTCTTTAGTGTTGACCAGTACAGTACTAAACCTAATTCCAGTTCAGTACTCCGTACACTACCAATATTACTGTCTACTGGCTTTTCGACTGTCTTTTTTCCATGACGGCTACTTGGCAGCCTGCAAGCAATTTATCGTCTGGATATCTTGTTGTAACCCTATGCGCGGGAATATGACCTTTGCGTGATATTTATTACCCCTAAGCGCCCAACGCTGCACCACCAGGAATTGGTATTTTTTTTGTAGGATATTAACCCCTAGGAGAAATTCAAACAAAAATTAATTATATTCAAAATAAGTAGTGCAGATAAATAACATCTGTCTTGTTAGTACTTTTCTTTCAGACCCGAGAACGCCGGATCCTCGCGCAGAGTATCGCCTGCAGCCTCAAACACTCGGAGGATCTGAGCATTTCTCTGCTGGACATGACCCACCATTGTATCGACCGCCCTCGACGCCTGCTTGAGTCGCTTCGTCGCGGATCTCATGAAGTCGCTTCAGCCAATAGGGCCATTTCCAAGGACTGAATCCGCCTGGTGATCGTTGGCCGAGCTCGGACTGCACAAAGCGATAACCGCCTTTCCCAATCACATCATCGGAACATTGATTCCAGCATGTATCTGATAAGAGATTGAGATTATGCCCGGCCTCACGGATCCAGGCACATGCCGCCGGGAGTAGTGCAGTAATCGTCAGCACGTGCACGGACCGACGAGGACACTCATCATCAGGGTCGTTGGAACTCCCAAGAGGTCGCTCGTCTCAAGCGTATCCCGGAAGAGGATCAGAGCGATCAGACAGAGCCGATCGTTGGCCACGCGGGCAGACGCCAGCTTCGCCAGGAAGGAGGAGGCGTTTACCCGCTGGGACGTGCTCATGGCGGCGCACTCGTTGTTCCAGAATGCAGTCATGTCCGTAGCCAGGTAGGGCAGGTCGTTCCAAACGGTTCCGTCCGGGGTCCTAGCAACATCGAAGCCGACGCCACCGGGTGCGCCCCTTGTCATATGCGACTGATCGGAGGAGCTCCAGCTGGCCTCGTCGAGCAGCGTCCTGCAGATCCACCCGCATCCCAGGCTCAGAGACGACAAGGAAGTGACTCAGATTGTCTCTCGGGGGCGAACTAGGCGAATCATTTAGTAGGAGGTGCATTCGGAGAGGAAGACCGTAGCGGTTGAACTGGGAAGCAAATCTTTGGGAGGTGCGTGTAGGCGGAGTGGTTTAAAAGGCTTGAAATGAGCTCAACTTGCGTTATGTCATTAGAAAACAGACAAAATATCTACCTAGGTATCATCCGATAGTTACATAGTGTAGAGTATACGTAAACACCAACCCACCCAACAAAAGACGACAGAATCTGTTGATCTCGTGGTCTATCATATGGGTGAACTAGACGAAGTACCGGTGGCCGACGACCAGCCGGTAACTAAAATCACCACAGTTGCAGGGGACATGCATGGGATGCTATCTGATTAGCTGTGCTTGTCACTCATTGCCCATTTTGGTAATTGTACCGGTGCAAGTGCCAAGCTAGAACAACATCTCCGTATAAGATCATCTACATATAGGCGATAAGTTTGTCACCAACCGTTATTACCCCTGCGCCAGACTTCCATTATCACCTCCTTTCTGACGGATGCATTGTGCCGTCATACGAGTCATAGTAACAGGATTTATCCTCAATCTGGTCGGTACACTGTGTCTAGCAGTTAGCATATTGGTCGGGCAAACAGGACCAAGGAAAACCCACTCTTCCGAAAGAGCATTTGCAGATAGCTTTCGAACCATTTTGGGTGGTGTAGTGGCATTGATTGGTGTCTGGGTCACATTCCTAGTTTGAAGAGGATGAGCTCTCTCTTCTCATTTTCATGAATTTGATCCACTTACTCCAGGGTACTGAACCAGAACGCCGTTCTTATTTCTACCTCCCAAACTATTGGGTGTAACGGCCCCAAAGACAGCGGGCAAGACAATCCCAACAGAACCAAGAGCAACGAGCTTCAAGGTATTGGTGGTTCTAGATGATGTTCTGGAAGAGCTAGAGAATTGGGGCAGCTGTGGAAAGAGACCGGTATGTTCTTTGACATCGAGCTCCAATATGGCGAGCGAGGCCCCAATTTATATAGATGATGCTAAGGTCTAAGGGCTGGGGTTGAGACAAGACAGCATTCAAGTTGTTCCAATCACTCGCAAAGGCCGATGCAAGGGAATAACACTCCCCCGGAGTAGACTGGACTCGAATGTAAGACCTGTCGCATATGACAGGCACTAATCCGCTCCAGTGATGTTGTCTCTGTTGGGACCGCAGCGCTACTTCACACCGGACAACCTCCGGGCTCCTCTACAACATACACAACATGGAAGGCTACTTACCAATGAAGTCCGATGCTGAGCAAAACTGTTGTTCTAGCCATGTGATTCATACAGGAATATCACATTGACCCTTGTTGGTTTCGAGTATAATGGGCCCGGAAGCCAGTATCAGGGTAAAAATGACGACGTCTCCGAGATGGGCAAAGGACTCGCCTTCAACGGCTAGCGCATGACCATGTTGCCACTACAACGTAAACCTCAAGGGTATGATATTGGTGGCTGTTGGTTCCGCGTGCAGTTCATTGCACGTCGGGGTCTCGACATACTTACTGGCGCAATCAGGTTCCTATGCTCCTAGGTAAGAGCCTATAGAAATGCGTCAACACACAACAACACTGGCTCTTCTTGGCCAGAGAGCCTAACATATACCGCTAACATGCCTTGATTGAGATACTCCGACAAGATAGGACCTACTATACCGCTTCCCCTGCCTCCCTTTCACCACCATGTGGGCTGCCATATTAGTAGTCTCTTTCTACTAGCCGCCAGGCCAACATCAAGTATAGCATCAGGCATTTTATACTAACATTTCAGCCGATTACAATTTTGCGTCTGTACTTTGTTCTCTGGTTTACGTCCCCACCAAAGGGCTATATCACAGATCTTAAAAAATGAAGCTCATAGTGGGGCTGGTTCCCTGGGAAAAGAAGGACATAAGAAGGCGACGCTCCCTGCACCTGGACTACCTCCCCACGACAAACAGACTCAAGAACCATATATTCCACATATCAATTGTCAACAACATTCCGGTTTCTATCTGACGTGATACCTACCACTATAATGCAACTTGTCAACACCGCTGTGTACGCTATTACTGCTCTGGCCACCATTGTAACAGCAATCCCTGGGCGAGTTGCTATGGGCGAGAAGTTCGCTTTCTTCAATGGCAACCACAGCGTCATTGTTGAGACCGGAATTCCGTCTGTAAACCCTGGAAACACTCTGCAGGTTCCTGAAGAGGGTGACGTCGATTGCAAAGGCTCTGTTTTGTGTGAAACACTTAGTGGTAGCTGTGATGATGCCTACCGCAAGGTGGTTCCTAGCAACACCTACAGCACATATTATGAGTATGCCATTCCGGAATCACAGTTAAATGGTACCGCATCAGCTAGCTCGTCTCAGCGCGGCCGACACTGGAACTTGCAGTGGATATTGTGGGCTTTTTGTCAGTGGTCCACACTGTGAGGCTACTGGACAAAATTTGAAGGACACTTACAACGACATTCGCGACAAGGGCCATTGTTCCCATTGTGGACGGAAGGAGATTGTGGATGGCTGTATGATTAAGGTTGACCGGGTGACAGGCTGCTAGAGGGTGTACACTTTTACCCTTCCGGTTTCTCTGTTGCGCGGGTCCAATTGAGCTCTCTGATATGTATGGCGATTAGCAGAGAAAGAGTATTCAACATACTCGAATAGGATGAGATATGGGTAGTTTAATACCATAGTACTTGGTCACTCTGACCAACTATTCATTCACAGTATTGGTACTACAGGGGTTCTTCCATGAAGCTGTTAATAGCGTACTGTATAACTATAAGTTAGAGCCCCTTTGTCTCCCTCGTGGCCCAGCTGGTGTTCGAGCTTCCGGGGGATTATCGGGGTATCTGTGGGAAATTCTCTGTGGATAGCACTTAGGATAGTTACGATGAAGGTCTCAGATGAACGGGCTCTGCCAAGGCAAGACTATGAATATTATAGTATGTGACAAGCTGTTCTCCATACATGAGTCACACAACGAGCTACCAAGTCGAAATTTTGTTGGTCTGAACTAAAGAACTACCCTGTCTCGATCGCCGTCGCGGATTTTACTTATTGGGAAAAGTGCTTTTGTCATTGGGGGCTAAGATTTTGCGGTGGTGATCTTCATTGTTGGGTCAATATCGTGGTCTCAATGGTTAAGTATATAAAAAGCACGTCACATACGCGGTGGGTAGAATGAAGACTAGTGCTCCCTCCTCTCTTTGTATCATCTGGCAAAGGGACCCTCCCTGATACATTATTGTCATGATGAATCGTCCATGGAGCGGCTACTGTTCTGTTCGGCGAATGTTGTTCGCAGGGGCTGTCAGTGCCTGTGGACTTTTCATCTTCTTGATGTGGTTTGGAATAAATTCAGACCAAGACAACGGGCCCCCATTTCTTACCCAACTCATCCCAGCAGGCCACTGTACCTGCGAATCATCCACATCATTTGAATGCGGAGATTGTCTCTCCTGCCTGAACTCGTCCTCACAGCTATCAGAACCAGAACATCAGCCTACCTGGAACTTCCAGTATGGCCGCGACGACCGAGACCCTAGCCTGAGCCCGAAACAGTGCCAGACATCCTTCCCAGGTCTCTTTCAAGATATCCACCGGGGTGTCGAATATTGGACATCACAAGGCGGCCTTTCCAGCCAGGAGCTCAACAATGTACCGTTTAACGACGGCATGGCTCAGGCAGTTATCTCCAATGGAGAACTGTATATTGTGGCAGTAAAGGCCAAGGGCGAAGACCACCGGCGTAAAATCCTCGCTACTCTCGGTTCCATCCATCGAGTGCTCGCTGCATCCTCAAACCACCAAGACTCCCTTCCTCCCATTGAATTCATCTTCTCGATCGAGGATCGCGTGGACGACGTTCATGCGAGTGGTCATTCTGTCTGGGTATTACCCAGGAAACCATCGGAGGAATCGGTCATTCTGATTCCTGACTTCGGATACTGGTCTTGGGCCAACAGCAACATCGGCCCATACGGACAGGTCGTCAAGCGGGTGCAGTCTGCTGAGCCCAAGTTCGTGGATAAAGAGCCGAAGCTGGTCTAGCTGGGGAAGCTGACGTTTGCTCCTAAACTCCGACGTGCACTCTTAGACGTTGCACGCGGGACCTCCTGGGGTGATGTCAAGGCATTAGATTGGAGGAAGAAAGACAATTTCCTAACGATGGAGGACCACTGCCGGTACATGTTTATTGGGCATGTTGAAGGTATTTCTGTTTACCCATCGCCCGCACTTCATTTTGCCTGGCAAGCTGGCTGACATTTGACGTGATACGCCTCTAGGTCGCGCATATTCAGCCTCTCTGAAGTATCGGCAAGCCTGCCCATCGGTGTTCGTCGCCCATAAATTGCAGTACATCCAACATCACCATTATCTCCTGGTATCTTCCGGTCCAGAGCAGAACTATGTCGAAGTCGAGAGAGACTTCTCCGATCTCCCGGGCCGAATGGAGGACCTCTTGTTGAACCCTGAGAAGGCCCAGCGCATAGCTGATAATAATGTGAAAACCTTCCGAGAGCGCTATCTCACACCCGCTGCCGAGGCTTGCTATTGGATGGCCCTGTGGGCGCAATGGGCCGAAATATCGTGGAATCTGAGCCGCGAGCTGGAAGACAGACCAGCAGTTGAACGTGCCTCCGATATGAATCATTTATCTTGCTGGACAGTAAGGACATGTTGAAGTTCTCGTTTATAGGTAATTAGCACCAAAGCATCGAAGAGCCCTTTATCCTGCTCTCAACTTGATATTTCATTGTTCCTGGACACGTGCACTTGGAGTACGGAAGAATGTGTATTGGATCAAAGACAAGGCGATAACATGATGTAACAATAGTGCATGTGCAATGCAATCGAGTATACACCGTGAAACGTCGGACGATGCATAAAATCACCAAGCATCTCCCCCAAATCACTCATGTTCATAGCCAATTGTATGAAAATGACGACTAGACCAGGTAGATTTGTAAGCAGAATCTGGACCGATGCCAAATCAACAGGTCAACCAGGGTCATCTCGGCATCATGTATCCTGGAACCAAAGGCAGATTGAAGGATTCAAGCTTCATGAACTACATAGTTACGGAGTAGATGCAGAGAGACGGGTTGGCTGACTCAGCTGGATGAGGGAGTTACGTCGTTTCCGGGCCGAACAGACTCCAAGTCGAGCGACGCGCCATTATTCTCACCGCCAGTAGTCCTTTCTTGGATCACTGTTTCGACCTTCTTTTCTTTTTCTAGTGTGTGCACCACGAAAGGTAGTCGTACCTATATTACCATTCGCATAACCCCGACCTAGCCTCTTTCGGTGGATTTGGTCTTCTACCAAACAGCAGTTTGCGAGCTTGCGGCGAGCCCCTCCAACAACAGAGCCTCGACCCCACCGAACACTCTGAACACCACCTGCCTTTGCCTAGGACCGATTCGTCGTCACCAACATCCTCTCGATCCTTCCGTCGCCTCCACTCCCACCTCCAACGCCTGGGATTTTCACCTCACTCAGGGCTGAAGTCTTCCGACAGACAATACCTCCAGCTTCCGGAGCGGAATGTCGGCTTCCATACAGGAGTTGGACAACACAGTCCGCGCCTTCTACGAAGGCAAAGGCGACCTGGTGAGTGACCACAAAGGATTCTTTCTCGTGTCGTACCCCTCCAGTAATTGGACACTAACGCTTGGATTGTCACTTTCTAGCAAAAACAAGCCGAACAGACATTGACGGAGGTGAGTCTCTTGGATCGCGCTGAAGCAAACCGAAGACAAGCAACATCTGACCCGTGTATGACGAACAGTTCAAGCAAAACCCCGATGCCTGGCTTATTGTAGGAGACATTTTGCAACAGTCGTCCTACCCGCAAACCAAATGTGAGATTGCACCCATCCCCGACCGAGACTTTACGTGCGAAGGGGGCTTTCCCTGTATTGCTCCGTCTTCAAAGAAAACTGACTGGACTAGACCTCGCCCTCCAAGTCCTCGACGATGTGATTATGACCCGGTGGAAGGTTCTGCCAAGGGAACAATGCTTGGGTATGTTGTCTTTGAGCGTTTCTCCTGCTTGTCTAACCAGATCAGGTATCCGGAATTTCATCGTCAACTTCATTATCGAAAACTCCAGTTCCGAGGAGAAGCTTAGAAGCGAACGCGCCTTTGTGAACAAGTTAAATTTGGTCCTCGTGTCGATCTTGAAGCAGGAATGGCCGCACAATTGGCCGACCTTCATCAACGAGATCATTTCATCCTGCCATACAAGCCTCTCCATCTGCGAAAACAACATGGCGATCCTTCGGCTGCTTTCCGAGGAGGTGTTCGATTTCTCGCAAGACCAGATGACATCGGTCAAGGCCAGGAACCTGAAGACTTCGATGACACAGGAGTTTTCGTCGATCTTCCAGCTGTGCTCCGAAGTTCTGAATACCGCAAACCAACCCAGCCTAGTGAAAGCCACACTCGAAACCCTCCTGCGATTTTTGAACTGGATCCCGTTGGGATACATCTTCGAGACGCCCATCATAAATACCCTACTGACGCGGTTCCTCGATGTTCCGGAATTCCGCAACGTGACGTTGAAATGTCTCACGGAGATCGGTGGTTTACAATTCGGAGCCCCGTACAACTACGACGAGCGACTCGTTCACATGTTTACTGAGACTTTGACCGCCGTGTCTAAAATCATCCCGCTGTCTATGGACTTGAAGCAGACGTTCGCGAAGAGCAACTCCAGAGACCAGGAGTTCGTTCTCAACCTGGCCTTGTTCCTCTGCAGCTTTTTCAGTGCGCATCTCGATGTGAGTCCCTTTTTTGCTCAGGATTTAGGAAAATTGGTGCTAAAGTTCATCGTTTTTAGCTTATTGAGAAGCTACCGAACCGTGACTACCTCACCCACGCTCATTTCTACCTCATTCGCATCAGCCAGATCGATGATAGAGAGGTTTTTAAGATCTGCCTGGAGTACTGGACGCGACTTGTGCAAGAACTCTACGAAGAAATGCAACAGCTCCCTATCACCGATATCAACCCACTGGTGAGCATGGGCGTCAGTGGCCTTTCGAATGGAGGTGCGCCGCACCCTAGCACCCTCGCCAACTACCCCCTTCGCAAGCACAAGTACGAAGAAGTTCTTTCCAGCTTGCGCACAGTCATGATCGAAAAGATGGTCCGCCCGGAAGAAGTCTTGATCGTGGAAAATGATGAGGGTGAGATCGTCCGGGAATTCGTCAAGGAGAGCGACACCATCCAGCTCTACAAGACGATAAGAGAGTGCCTGGTCTACCTCACCCATCTGGATGTCGTCGACACGGAGAACATCATGATCGAGAAGCTTGCAAAGCAGGTGGATGGAACCGAGTGGTCGTGGGCCAACTGCAACACGCTCTGCTGGGCCATCGGATCGATCTCCGGCGCCATGAACGAGGAGACCGAAAAACGCTTCCTTGTCACGGTCATCAAGGATCTCCTTGGACTCACAGAGCTGAAGCGTGGAAAGGACAACAAGGCTGTGGTCGCCAGTAACATCATGTACATCGTCGGCCAATACCCTCGCTTCTTGAAAGCCCATTGGAAGTTCCTCAAGACCGTCGTCAACAAATTGTTTGAATTCATGCACGAGACACACGAAGGTTAGTTACCCACTGTTGACTTTAATTATACAGACCTGAGTCTAACCCCAAGCTAGGTGTCCAAGATATGGCTTGCGATACGTTTATCAAGATCGCCAACAAATGCAGGCGTCATTTCGTGGCCTTACAGCCCGGTGAGAACGAGCCCTTCATCGAGGAAATCGTACGCAACATGAGGAAGATCACTTGCGATCTCTCGCCGCAGCAAGTCCATACCTTCTACGAAGCATGTGGCTATATGATCTCCGCACAGGGCCAAAAGGGTCTCCAAGATCGTCTCATTGAGAACCTCATGTCCCTGCCTAACTCTGCATGGGATGCCATCATTGCTCAGGCAAACCAAGACCCGTCCATCCTTCAGGACGGCGAGACAATCAAGATCATCGGAAACATCATGAAGACCAATGTTGCCGCGTGTTCATCAATTGGCACATACTTCTACTCTCAACTGGGCCGTATCTACCACGATATGCTGAACATGTTCCGGGCCTCCAGCCAGCTCATCAGCGATGCAGTTGCACATGACGGTAAGGAGATCTTTCTTCCAACCTTCAGTCCAAGTCTAACCTTCGAAACCTGTAGGTGAAATCGCAACCAAGACGCCCAAGGTCCGAGGCTTGAGGACGATCAAGAAAGAAATCCTCAAACTCATCGATACCTATGTACAGAAGGCCGATGATTTGGAGATGGTCAATGCAAACATGGTTCCCCCGCTCCTCGAGGCCGTACTGGTGGATTACAACCGCAACGTTCCCGATGCTCGTGAAGCCGAAGTCCTCAATGTCATGACAACAATTATTCACAAGTTGCATGTAAGTCAATGGTGCCTGGCCATAAATGTGCCGGCAGTCGCGTACGGGATCCACCTCGCATGACACTTAGACTGACACTTGACCAATTAGAACTTGATGGAAGACAAGGTTCCGTTGATCATGGAGAGCGTGTTTGAGTGCACCCTGGAAATGATTAACAAAGACTTCCACGAATATCCTGAGCACCGTGTCCAGTTCTTCAAGCTGTTACAAGCGATCAACTTGTATTGCTTCCCGGCGTTGCTCAAGTTGGATGCTACACAGTTCAAGTTTGTCATCGACTCCTGCATGTGGGCCAGCAAGCATGACAACCGCGAGGTCGAAAACACCGGTCTTACCATGTGTCTGGAACTCATGAACAACATGGCCGAAACGGACGCCCAAACATCGAGCATCTTCTTCCGCCAATTCTTTATTCCGATCCTCCAGGACGTATTCTTCGTCCTGACCGACAGTGATCACAAAGCTGGTATGTTTCCTACTGTCCCCTGCACCACTGTCGCTAATCATGTTGTAGGGTTCAAATCTCAGGCGATGCTCTTGTCGCGGATGTTCTTCTTTATCGAGTCTGGCAAGGTGCAAGACCCGATTTACGGCCCCGACCAGGCCCCATTGGGCACGTCGAACAAAGATTTCTTGCAGGAATACGTTGCGAATCTCTTGCAGAACGCATTCAAAAACCTTCAGGAGTATGTTCCCTGCCTGTCCTGTATGAGATGTCCATGATGCTGACCCAGTTGCAGAATCCAAATCAAGCAGTTCGTTATCGGTCTATTTGCCTTCAACGACGATTTCAACAAGTTCAAGACCCATTTGCGGGATTTCTTGATCTCGTTGAAAGAGTTTGCTGGCGACAATGCCGAACTGTATGCGGAAGAGAGAGAACAAGCCTTGCGAGACGCCAAGGCTGCTGAACGAGACCGCGCCATGAAGGTCGGAGGTCTCCTCAAGCCATCTGAAATGGACCAAGAAGACGAACTATGACTAGACAAGGAGTTGCGCGCTGAAGTGTCCCACTCCGCATATGTCGCTGTGGATCCAAAGGGATCCAGACCCTCAGAGGGAGAGCACCTCGATGGCTGGTCTTTCTACGGGCTATGAACCCAGAGATCTATCCTGTTGCTAAGATGAAAATGTATGTTTCACCTCAAGCGGTTTCTTCTGTCTTTGTTGTTATCTGCTTTAGCCTATCTCTGCCTGATATGGAGCAACTTGGGTCTAGTACTATTGCCGCGGCTAGTAGGCGCCCATCAACACCTCTGCAGACATGGAACAATGGCTGATTCGAGGCGCGTTTGGTGCAGATGTTGTCCTTCCCTTTGGGTCTAAGCAGACGTAGCTTGGTTTGATGTTGAATACCTTGGACATCGAGGATCGAATATCTACTGGTGACTTGCTGAGTGGGACATTGTAGATTAAGCCAAGGAATCTTTATCTCAAATTCTTATACTTCGTAACTACATCTACTGTATTGCGTCACTGGCCTCGGGCATCAGAGAGGGGTTAAGTAAGCCGCCCACCTACCCAGATTGGCAGGTCCGAAAGGCGGTGAGACATCAGGCGTCGTACATCGAACGATTTGCCCTCATGCAACCCCAGATTCCCTGCTCTATAAAGTCCCATTAACCTCTCACTTCACATCCAGACTAACCAGAAAACCATGTCTCAAACACGACACCAGCCAACAAGCGGCGGGACGCAATCCAGAGTCGAGTCGCTATCCCCCGAACGAGCCGGCATCTCAGGCATACTGAGGCTGCGAGCCGAGGACGCACCGCCCACGACGAACACCAGGGACGACGCAGACACAGATGCCGGCCCCAGCCGCCGCATCCGCTGGAGCGAAGACGTCGTCGACAACGAAGGAATGGGCAAGAAGAGCTCGAAAGGTGAGCTAACCCCCGACATCTCCCACCCAACCCGTCTCCAGACGTAAGGCAAAGCTGACTGACGACGTCTACTCTCTCGCGGCGACAGTGTGTTGTATATACCATAAACCGCGGCCAATCGGCGAAAGCAGCTCGGAGGAGTCATCGGATTCCAGTTCGTCAGATTCGGATAGTGACAGCGACTCGTGCGGTGGGAATCGCTCGCAGAAAGATACTTCTGCGCAGCCTGCGTCTCGGGGGCGCTCGACGTGTTCACACGATCATCGCAAGGGACATACGAAACGAAGAAAGCCGAGTCCTAATGCATATGAGAAAATGCCGAAACCGAAGGGGCGCTAAGCAGCTGGTCTTTGAGCGCAATACTACGATTCAATTTCGGAAGATATTCTAGACTCTAGATGCTGAATGGCATGTCTACACCAGATACGCTCCCAGCCTGCTATCGATTGAAAATTGCTGGCGAATACGGGCCGCTGTTGAGAGGGGAAGTCAACCGCTGGTTTACGGCTGCTGTGGTAAGCGTGGCGTACCAGCGTCATCATGGATTAGGACGACTATGGGACAGTCTTGGAATTTCATACAAGTTCCTGAAATATTGCGAGGGGTATCTATCAAACAATCTGGAAGGACTGAGCTGGAAGCCATGCAATGGCATTCGAAATTCTTCCGAGGGCCTACTCAAAGCATCATGCTTTTCCTCCGTGACGCAGCCCGTTGCCCCCGTCTCAGAGACACAGTTGGTTCCGTGTCACCTCCTGCCTCCGGACTCATGAAGTCTGCTTTTTGTTGGATAGAAGCTTCATGTAGAGCTGCAGCTGAATCGAAAGCCTGTTGCGAGCCCATTCTCGAAATATTGGTAGCGGCCGTAGGGTTAGAAGAGTGCCGGCGAGATTGTTTGTTCAGGCTCGATAGTGCTCTTAGCGTATTCTTGGTAGACTTTCTGCAGCTCTCCTCTAGAGCACGAGGCTCTCTGAACTGGTTGTCCGACTCTTTCGGATGTTTGCGATCTATCGATATTGAGACGGGAAGAGCGTCGTCTCTGGTTTCATCCTCAAGGTCTCGACATGGCAAGCTATCACGCTTCTCCGGTAGAGTTTTGCGCTTTCTCGCTGAAGGCCCAGAAGAGCCATCTGGCGCCTCAATACCAGGCGATTCGGATCTTCCAGGGGTCGGCTCAGGCTCTCGTGACTTTCTTGAAGGCTGAGAGCCGGATACTCGTCTCCCCTGGTCTCCACCAACAGCAGCAATAAATTCACTTGTAGGGCGTCGCATTTTGGCCCTCAAGTTCGGCTCTGCGTAGCTAACGACAGCTCTTTGGCGTCTCGTTGGCCGGGACGAAGTTTCGGCCTGGTCTGCAGGGGTGTCGGACATGTCGAACTGGGCTGAGTCTTGTGATGCTTGGGATTCAGATACAGTCCCAACGTTCTCAGGATCCTTTCGCTCGGCTGATTCGATGTCGTCATGGTTGAGGTCTTCGCTCAATGACCTGCATTGCGGTCCACGTTGATCCGCTGATTTGACTGATCGAAACTGGCGATTTTCGTCATCCGGAGAATCGGCGCTCGTTGAGACTTTTTTGCCACGGTTCAAAGAAATTCCTTTTCGTGGTCTACCCGGGGAGACCATGCGAGTATTTGTGCTTTCTGCTTCCGGATTAGTCTTGGGTTCTTGATCAAAACCTCTCTTGACTTACTTGGCTCCAAGGCTTTCCGCTTAGGAGGGGCAATGTTCTCCCGTCTTTCTTTCAGCTGAGTTCGCCTTTTTACTGGAGATTCTTCCTTCGCGGACAGAGAAAGCTCTTCCTCTGCATTAGCCGGTGATTGGTTGGGGCGGCTGAATTGGAAGTCGTCATCCGCTGTTGAAATAGGCTGGAATTCCTCATCTTCTTCGGAGGAGAATTTGCGTTTCGCACCAGACTTCAGCAAGTAACTGGAGTTCTTCTTTGGTGTGACTGAGTCGTGATCTGGTCTGGACAGTTCTTCCCCAATTGGCAATGGGCCTGGTCGTTTCTTTTTCCTTGTCTCCAGCGTCGGTGGAAGAAAGTGTGTATCGAGCTCAGGGTCGTCGTCGTGGAGTGGTGTATCGAGGGAGTCGTCATGTAAGTCTGCCTGTGTGTCGTGCTCTTCTGGGTATTGAGCTCCCGGTCCGAATGAGTCGGAGACATTCTCTTTCGCTAGGTCCCGCAGTTCATTCGCCCTATGTTCGTCAGCAAATAATGACCTCCCTTATCCATAGATGGTTCTCCTTACTCCAATGTTTTCCGGGGGTAGTATTTATCTTCAAGTATGACAGGGAGGCGCCCGTCTTCTTCGATATCTTGATTGGAGTCGGGCCCTTGAGGCTTTAGTGCTGGGCTGTGTTGAGTAGAGACATTCTGAGCAGCATCACCATCATTCTGGCTGATGGACTTGTTGAAATTGCGCGGTAGGGCTCCCAGGTTCGACACGATATTGTTGAGCTCCGCTAGTTTGGTGTCCAATTTTGCCTTGATGTCGTAGACGCCATCACTGAGCAGCTTCGCAGCCTCAAACCTCTCTAGCTCATTGCCCAAAGCGATAACTTGCTCTCTAAGCGACACGTTTTCGGCGAGAAGGTGGGAGACTTCCGATTCGAGGCTTCGGATGCGGAGAGATTGGATTGAGTTGACACGAGCGATTTCACGGTTTTGTCTCACGAACCGCCGTTTGACTGTTCAGTTAGAGGCTTGGTTTCGTGAAGAGAAGGGAGATTTGAAATGAGTATGGACTCACGCGATTCTAGAGATTCGCCGGGAGCAGCTGATTCATTCAGGCGAGCCATCCTTTCGGGGCCGATGACGCAGGCTCCTGCGGCCGATAATAATTCAAGCACTTCACAGACGGTAAAGAGGGACTGTTGATAGTGTATATTTAGGAGGAACTGTCTTCTGATCCTTGGTTTGAATTGTGTTGCGGTCGCACTGTTAGTACGGTGAAGAGAGTAAACAGAATGTGCTCCGCTATGCCCCTAGAGTTGTTGACGTTTGTCCGTATTGGGTTAGGTTGACAACGGCGGGTTGTTGTTTAGGAAAGCGGTGGCACCGCGTCATGGTAGCCGTATCTTCATCAGATTCGACGTCTCTATCTTTCATTCTCTATTCCTCCGGACACTGAAATAGTGATTTCATTTGGTCGAACTGTGTGTTCCTGTGACCAGGTTCGGAGAATTGAGACTCGATAAGAACAACACCGGCCTTCAGTTCCCCTTCACGAACCCCGCTCTTCACGCCCAACTTCTCCACGCCTACACAACACTTGTCCGACAAAACGAAAAGTACTACCGAACATCTACTACCGAGATATCACACTTGTTCTCATGGCGTATTCTTCGCGACCAACATCGATGCTCGGGGCATCGTCCTCATCAGGCCTGCGCCAGCCCAATCTGTCCGGAATCCCTCCGCAACAATCGTCTGCGTTGGCCGCCCGAATTGCTGCCAAAAAGACCGAGTTGGAGAATTTGAAACAACTCCGCGACATGAGTGCCACTCTGGCTATGCAGATGCAGGCGTTGGAAACCAAGATCGGCACACTCAAAGACGGCACGGAAGGTGGGTTCCCCTCGACGTGGCGTGATGGTGAAATATCCCGTGAAGACTTCTGACTTGGTTCTGTTAGCTGTTGCATGTGTCCTTGCCAATTGGGACAACGTCCTACGAGCGATTAGTATGGCCTCGAGTAAGTCGACTCTTTTTGATTTCAACACGGGTCCTTTCTTTATTCGTATACTGACCATGGATGCTTTCTTGAAGCGAAAGCTGCTGCGATCCAGGGACCCGAAGGACATACGGCGGAACAATCACAGGCCCCTCTTATGCCGGCGACTCTTGTTCGCATTCCCGCTGAGGATCGAAAAAAGACGGACGATTCGTGAGTCAGGCAGCAACTCGTCCTTTTGTGGCAGCCTATGTGCTTGGGAAAAGGCCGCGTCGTGCTGGAGCACAGCAATTTGTCGTACGAATCAACCCCACATAATTACATGGAACGACTCGGCATTGTCTTCCATCCTGGTACGTGGGGAAATACCACTCTGGACTGGGCTCTGCGGTCCGGTCCATACGGCTGTCGATGATGTAGCCCAGAGTGAAGGGTATCGCGGGTGAGAGCTTTGGTGGGGATGTCGTCAGCCTTGGAGAGCGCATGCGGCGGGAGCCGATCATGCACCAAAGAGTGAGGACAGGTTCCAGGTCCTTGTGGGTAGAGGGAGATGAGCGGATCGACTATCAGTGATAGACTGGCATTAGACATGCTGCGTTACTTGTTGTATCATATCTAAGGATCGGTTGATGTCGGCATGGGGTTATATCGACCAATGGAGAAGGTTGATAAATTGGAATTCTTATCATTCGCGGCTTATCTGCAGGTGTCTGCGCCTGGGGCGCGTAACAAGCTTAGCACAGCGCTCATAGCTGGGGGCCAGATGTGCCTGTATCTTGTACAGCAGCTCTACAAGTTCGTCAATCAATCAATTAGTAAGGATGTGTCTCGATTGGAAGAATGAATGTTACGAGTCTTTCTTGAATGCACTAGAATAAGGTAATTGAAGCGATACGGAGTAGTTCCTCGCCTGTCATCTGCAGCTGAGAGGTAGCCCACGAAGGCCACCACGAGCGAATCAGTCGTGCATCTGCGTATTAGTCTTCCACTGCAGCTGATTTGCTGCTTCCAGCTGCATCATATCTGGGGTTCTTATCTCTCCTTAACGGCTAGTGAGCGTGTGACCCCAGATGGTGCGGGCATACATACTATCTTAGTTAGGATGGAGTACTCCTACTGTACTATTCTGCTTGATCCCCAAGTGTTTGACCACGCGCTCGAGCCACGATGGGTAAAGAAAGCATCAGGATCATCCGCCGGGTAGCCTAGCGTTGCGCGTCCCCACCGGTCTGCAGTGGTTGTTGGGCCTGTGAGTGGCTTGAGTGGTGCCTGCTCTACTGCAGGAGAGACACTAGTCGTACGGAGGAGAGTTAGTAGCCTGCCCTTTTGAGACGGCTGCAGCAGAGGCCAGAGTCGGCTGGTCTTGACAGCAAACTTTGCATTATTAGTATGGGAGGGTTAGTAATGCCACATTCTCCCACCTGCAGATGGTCGGATCAGGGGTTGGTCCATCCTGTATTTTGGCCAAGGGGCCGCGGGACCCGCGCATCACCCGTTTAGTCCGTAGTCCGTAGTCCGGTACGGAGTAGATGGAGTAGAGTAGAGTATCCATTTCCCCACAGTTTGTTCATTGATGATGCCATACGGAGAACTCGTATTTTCAGAGACAGCAGACTACTCTGGGTACTCTGCATAATACTCTCCTATATCATCAAGTACCTGCCTGGTCTGATGCCATCAGTCGAAACTAGCGCGGTCGCCACTGAAACACCTCCATGCAGTATGAGTGGTGCAGGCTCCCCTGCGCGAGATCAGACCTCTAAGCCCAGTGGGGTAGTGATGGCTGGTGGTTAGACCAGGTGGTTCCATTCGGACACTACTGCACTCCCCAACATTGATGATCGTAGGGCATCACGGATGAACATGGACCGATGTGGAATGGGATGGAAGATAATGTAGGTACCTGGAGGACAGAGAGTACCTGATGTCTGGGTAGGTAGGTATTAGGCCTAGTACTAGTACGAGGTCAGTCCTCGGACCTCTACATCATTGTAGCAGAGATATGCACGTTGCTCGAAAATCCCTCTGCCTCGCCACTAATAATAGGGTGCAATATCACGCATGCGCCTTTTCTGGTTGAAATTTTTCTGATGATTTTCCTCGTACATACTATACATAGTTTATACATATCCCCCGGCTATCCGGCTCCGACATATATTGCACCACTCCCCATTCCTCTGGTTGCCTTCACATTCAACATCACCACCCCAACCCTCTGGCTGTCACGGTCTCCCCGCATTCTTGCGCCATCCCTCTTCATAGAATGCTCCTTTTCTTTTCTCCTCGCCCTCATTGACTCGACTCTGCTGTCGTCCTGATTCTGCGAAGCGAAGCTGGTCTGCAGTGAAGATGAGCCTAGAACATTTTGCTACCAAGGTAGTTTGATTCAACATCCCATCAACTACCACCATCGTCTATATTATTGCTCCTTCTTTCCTCTCCTTCTTTCGATATCTCTTTGCATCATTTTGCATCATCCTCAGCGCAGCCGTCGTTATTCTCTCCTTCGACTCTCGCCATCACGCCATTTCTTGCATGACCACATCATATCACCACTTGTACTCCAACCGCCTATAACCCACCTCCTCGCTGCTCCTCCTCCAACATAACCCCCCTCACAATGGCAACAGACTGGTCCCTCGACTTCTGCCTGGTCTGTGACCGGCAGACCCTCGGAGCTCCATACTGCTCCCAATCCTGCCGCCTCGCCGAGCTCGACTTTAGCTCCGACGCCTCCCTCTCTGCCGGCAGAAACGCCCCCGCAGAGACGGTGCGGTCGACACGAAGCCCCGAGCCTGTCGCCCGCGACGATCAAGCACGAGCACGCGTGCTCTCGCCGTCCTCGTCGCAGACGTCCCTCTCCTCCATGAAGAGCCACTCATCGCAGGCGTCCGCCGCCGCGCTGGTGGATCAGTTTCAGAACGAACTGCGCGATTACGCGAATTGTTTCGATCCGGTCCGCGACTTGAAGAGACGCTTGACCGCTTAGGGGGGTTGCACGCCCTCCATTTGTGCATGGCTTCCGGGGATTCCTGGGTGCCTATCTATGCGTTATGTTCTTTCAGCTTTGCATGAGCAGTCCGACGCGGATGTCGGGCTAAATACCCACGACTACATGATACTTTTCTTACTGTTCAAAACATACCCCGCCGAATTGCGGGTTGCCTTTGAAGGCTTGTCGGCGACGGAGAATGAGATACCACTGCACGTCTACGACCGTTGACGTCTAGGACGGTTGTATGTGGATGTGGATGGATGGCGTTGACGAATCTTGGCATCTGAATCGGAGCAGATCGGTTTTTTGGGGGCACTTTCTTTTGTACCACTTTCAATGTTGTAGGATAATAATGGCCCGGCGTGGCTAGACATGTCCCTTGCTCTTGCATGTACCCCCCGCGGTACATGGCAGAGAGCAACCTAGAATGAGACATCCTCGCTCTGTCTTCATATAACAGAAATAAAATATATCACGCACGTCTTGAACCAATGATACACCGCCGTGCCCAACCAACAGGAACAAACCACATACCCAAGCAAACACCCCGTCTACGCCACCACCTGCGCAAGAACCTTCTCGCTCCGCGGCACAAACCGCACCTTGTACTTCTGCGGGATGGCCACCAGACTCGTCGGGTCCGAGTTCCCCTTCACCGGGTGCCAGTTGATGTCCTCGTCCGACTCGATGCGGAAGCTGTTCAGCGTGCGCATAAACACCAGGTACAGCTCGCGGTTGGCCAGCAGCGAGCCCGCGCACATGCGGTAGCCCATGCCGTACGTGAACATGGGCGCGTCGGGCTGCTCGAGCCAGCGCTCTGGCCGGAATTCCTCGGGGTCGTGCCAGACTTCGGGGTCTGCAGGGCGTGAGTTAGCTTATGGCGTTTCAAGGGCTAATAATTTCAGGGGTTGGTAGCGTACCCATGTTGCAGGCCCAAGCGTTCAGGAAGAACACGGTGCCCTTGGGGATGACGGCGCCGTTGTAGGTGATGTCTCGGATGGAGGTGCGGGGGAGGGCCAGACGGAGCACGGTGAAGAATCTACCAACCAGCAGGGTTAGATATGACTTGCAGGATGCGGACAGAGGCAGACCTACCGCAGACATTCCCGCACCAAGGCAGCAACGTAGGCGCACTTCTGGTCGTCGTGGGCGTCGCACATCGGCTCGTCCTCGCCGTAGAACTCGCCAATCGCCTTGAACGCCTTCTCCTGGATGTCTGGGCGCTTCGCCAGCATGCCGATGCTCCACGCAACGAGCGTGGTCACGGTGTCCAGCCCGCCGGACAGCATGGTCAAGCTGATGGAGGTGAGTTCCTCCGCGTTGAGCTTCGCCTCCTTATCTAGGATGACGTTCGCCTGGATGCACGGCTTGTGGATGCCCTTCTCCATGCGGTCGTCCAGATCCCGGTTCAGCCCGTTCAGGTACCTGTCGCGACGGTTCCGCATCTCCTTCGCCTTCTGCGAGTTGGAGCTAAACGGGTTCAGCCGCAGCAGCGGCACGTAGTCTTGCAGGTTGCCGGTCGTGCTGCGGAACTTGCTGATCTCCTCCTCGACGTGGGTGATCTCGTCGAAGAGCTCCTCCTCCTGGGAGGCGACACGCACGCCCCAGTTGAGGGTCAGCGCGAGGCTCAGACTGAGACGCTGGATCATGGCCATCGGGTCGACGGGGGTCTTGCCCGCGTCGCCGTACTTGAGCAGCTCCGCGACGAAGGCCTTCGATTCCACGTCCAGGTGGGACACGTAAGACTCGACCGATGGGCGGTTGAGGGCGGACGCGGCGCCCTTTCTGCGCCGCTTCAGCGAGTCGCTGTACGGGGAGGTGCCGATGGTTGTGCCGGCGGTGTTGGAGACGATCTACATACATCAGAGTTAGCCACTCACTCCCTGCAAGACTGGATGAATGGAAAGTCACCTTGTGGAAGGTATAAAATTCCGGACGAGAGCTGAGGGCCTGCGCATTCTGTCCGAAAAGCACCTTGGCTGCGGCCGCCGAGTTTACGACAATCACAGGGATGTTTCCCAGCTGGATCTGGTACACGGGTCCGTAGGTCTTGGACCAGAGGCGATACTGTTCGGCGGCGTTTGTGCGGATCTGGGCGAGGTTTCCTATCAACGGCAGACCGCGCGGGCCCTTGAAGCCGGGCACACGGGCAGACGCCCGGATGAACTCGTTGATGATGACATAGATGATAGGGACAAGGAGAGCGGCGACAGCTAGCGACTGCAGCGGATGGTCAACAGCGCTCCTTTGCAGGGAGGCGAGGGCTGCCGCGATGGCCATATCGGGTAGGTAGGCGTCTGTCTAGAAGATGTAGCTCGACTCTGCGCTGAAGAAAAAAGACGCAGGCAGGGTACGTCCGTAGATACGATTAAATAATGTCAGGCATGTCTGTTGTCGTGTGGACAATTCTCCGTCCTGGGCTTGCATAGAGGAACTTTTCCGTTGCAGCCAGGTAGACACTCTGTCTACCCCACACTCTCCAGATCCAATGTCCGGGGTCAGCCATGCAATCTGCGCTCCTTCATTCGCTGCGAGGTGGTGTTCGTCCTCCCATCCAACCGAGTCATTCCGCACCCGGAATGTTTCCGCTCTGGGATGGAATACGTCAGACTGCGCTGTGGAACATGGCAAGCTAGGTAGGTAGGTACCCTACCTAGGTATGTATTCCACTGATTCATTCTCTTTGGGCATCTGTCGTGGTTGGTCTACCTACACAGCGCTCTGTGCGACTTGAGGTAGTTTAGTGGGACACATTCTCCTACTCTAAACATCGACCGAGGATACGAGCCAAGAGAGATTGTTCAGAACAGTGAGTCTGGCCTGACTGTACTTTTATACAGTCACTCCTGAAGGGAGGGATATTCAGAGGGAGTTCGACGGACCATGATCGAGAAGTTGATAAAGAGAGTCGGTGCAGGTAATGGACCCTGCACCAGCCAAATTCTTGTTGATGTGTGAGAACTCGACTAACACCCATCTTCCATCCTTGAAAGTGTCAATGGGTCTTGTGGCTGACTGCAAGATAAGCCACAAGATAAGCTCCCCGATCGTGGCATCTCATTGCCTTAACATATATATGCTTCTTTTTTTATTTTTTTTTATTTTAACACCCATGACTGAACATCAGTTTGGATTTGGATGCCTGCATCCGGATCTCGTGTTATACGAGCTGACATAATCCCCGTGCACAGAGTTATGAAATGATTCGTGGAAATGGAATCAAACAAGAGACTTGGCTAATCGGACATTTCATACTTCAATTCTTCAATTCGATATCGGGAGTCATCATGGAGTACATCGATCATCGGTTGACGACCGACACTCAGTACTGGGAAGAAAAAGAAAGCCGCATAATAGCATGATACGGATAATGGGATTCAGGGTTAAAAATAGGTAATGAACACAATGACCATAGGAGGCAGTGAAATTTAAGCCTTGCATTGACTATGGGGGATCCGCATCCAGGGGGAAAATTCTTCGTCCTCACATGAGCGTCACAGTGGAGGCAGTCAGTCGGACCACAAAACCTGACTGATAAGGGTTAGATCCCACCTGCCATCACATCAATCACATCATTATGGGGACATTGAGTGATTCTTGGTAGAGAGCAGTGGCTCTATAACCATTCTAGGACAACCATACTCAAAGTTGGTACTCGTAGCCAGGTACGAGACCTAATGATGCGACAAAGGCATTGATATCATATGGCCTGTTCGTACGGAGTAAACCTGGTCTTGTTGTACCCACCTGCTCCCAGGGTCTGGGCACAGAGTGGATCCAACAATGGATAGTCATACCGTAGGAGTACGGAGTACTGGTAAGTCAATTGAGGGCATAGGGACTCCATTTTACTGCCTAAGTAGGTCAATGGCAAGATTGATCTGAGAGATATGTACTGATGTATACAGAGTTTACCTACTCGTATATGTACCTGCATAGGACCGTATGGAACAGGAAAGATTCCCGATGCCCACACACTATACTCTACTACTCAGTATGACTCTGGCAGACTCTATCGATCGCGTGATGAGCCGCGACAGTGGACCGAATGCTCTGTTCGGAGAGAAAGGCGCAGTCTGGACTCGGGAGGAAATCTTTGCTGGTCACATGCGGACGCAGAGGGTCGGGACTCGATGCCTGACAACTTAGGCAGCCAAATCCACCCACGCCGGGGGCTGCCGAGCGTGGGATTGGTGGAAGGGCCGGCAGGATTTCCGCCGCGTCGCCGTCATCAGGGCCCCACCCCCGTCCAGATTCAGACGCAGCAGCTCTGCCCGGTTTGCTCATGACGCACCTCCCTTTCTCCCCGTGGAAGGTTACCCGGCATTCCAAGACCCAGAGGCCTATTTGAAGTTATCTTCTGCTTTTCTCATCCTTCACAATCTTTCTTCTCTCCTCTCCTCCTCTCTCCTCCATCAATTCCTCTACACCCTCCGTCTACACGACGACAATTGATCAAGTCGTCATCTGGATCTCCCCATTTTTATTTTCGGGGGTTCTTCGACCGCATTATTACCCATCACTGACATTGACTTCGTGCACCGACAAGGTATGTTAACTACTTACTCCCCCTTCTCTCTTCCTCGTCTTCCATCGCGTCGCGTCTCCATCTTCAATACCATCTAACTCCCGCAGCCTGGATAGACCAGTATTGGTATCCAATAGAGCCTCTGAATATTCACATTCATATCTTGACCCCTCTGCACTATACACCGTATAATGGCCTCTCGTCATTCTCGCAAGCTCCTTCGACCCCTGCTCTACACATCGGCCGCGGCGGCGGCCGGAGCCGGTGTCCTCTACATCTCCTACCGACCCCGCAACATTCCCGGCTCTGAAGCCCCCGCAGTCCCTCCGCCAGGTTATCATGAAGGCAAACTCGTCCCTCCCAGCTTCCCCTCCATCAAGTCGCGCCTGCAGCAGATCCAGGATCTGAAACGGAGCGCCGAGGAGAAGTCGGAGGAATATGATCTCGTCGTCATCGGTGCCGGTGCGACCGGCTCCGGTATCGCCCTCGACGCAGCCACTCGCGGACTGAAGGTGGCTGTCATCGAACGTGATGATTTCAGTGCTGGAACCAGCAGTAAGAGTACGAAACTGGTCCACGGTGGTGTTCGCTACCTGGAAAAGGCCGTGTGGGAACTGGACTACAACCAGTGAGTAGTCGACAGCGATGACATCATCACGCAAAATCAGCGCTAACGCCGCCTTAGATACAAACTGGTGAAAGAAGCCCTGAGAGAGCGCAAATACTTCCTGAACACTGCGCCTCATTTGTCCAGCTGGCTCCCCATCATGGTTCCCGTGCAGAAATGGTGGCAGGCGCCCTACTTCTGGGTTGGTACGAAGTTCTACGACTACTTGGCCGGTTCGGAGGGCATTGAGACCTCCTATTTCCTGCCCAAGAGCAAGGCCATCGATGCGTTCCCCATGCTGCGAAAGGATAACCTCTTTGGTGCTATGGTTTACTACGGTATGCCGACCCGTTGCCTGCATATGCATGCCCCTTGCTGACTGGTGCAGATGGTGCCCACAATGATTCCCGAATGAACGTGTCCCTGGCAATGACCGCCGCCTTGTACGGTGGCACCGTTGTCAACCACATGCAGGTCACGGGGTTGACCAAGGATGCGTCCGGCAAGCTGAACGGAGCCGTTGTCAAAGATCTGATCCCGGGCAGGAACGGCCAGGAGGCAGAAGAGTTCACGATCAAGGCCAAGGGCATCATCAACGCCACTGGTCCTTTCACCGATTCAATTCGCAAGATGGACGAGCCGGATACCAAGGAGATCGTGGCCCCCAGCGCTGGTGTGCACGTCATTCTCCCGGGATACTACAGCCCCTCCAACATGGGTCTCATTGACCCGTCCACCTCGGACGGCCGTGTTATCTTCTTCCTGCCGTGGCAAGGAAACACCATTGCCGGAACTACGGACCAGCCGACGGACATTACCCCCCAACCCCTCCCCTCTGAGCAAGACATCAACTGGATTCTTTCGGAGATCCGTGGCTACTTGGCTCCCGACATCAACGTTGAGCGCAGTGACGTGCTTGCCGCGTGGTCTGGAATCCGCCCTCTGGTCCGTGACCCCAAGGTGAAGAGCTCGGAAGCCTTGGTCCGCAACCATCTGATCACCGTATCGCCTTCGGGACTGTTGACTTGTGCGGGTGGCAAGTGGACCACGTATCGTCAGATGGCCGAGGAGGCTGTTGATGAGGCAGTCAATGTGTTCGGACTGAAGCCGCGCGCGGTCTCCAATGTCCCGGATATTAGCGGTGTCGGAGGAAGCGGCCTGGTTGCCGATGGCGCTGTGCTCGACGGATCCTGCCAGACCCACCAGGTCCGCTTGATCGGAGCCCATGGTTACTCGAAGACCCTCTTCATCAACCTGATCCAGCACTTTGGCCTGGAGACCGACGTGGCTCAGCATCTTACCCAGTCGTACGGTGACCGGGCCTGGCAAGTGGCGGCGCTGTCTTCTCCCACTACCATGCGCTTCCCTGTGCGCGGTCAACGCATCTCGCCCCTCTACCCCTTCATCGATGGCGAGGTCCGATATGCGGTGCGCCATGAATATGCTCAGACTGCGGTGGACGTCATTGCTCGCAGAACGCGCTTGGCTTTCCTGAACGCGGAGGCGGCACTGGAGGCGCTCCCGAACATCATTGATCTGATGGGCGAAGAACTCAAGTGGGATGCCAACAGAAAGGAGGTGGAGTGGAAGGACAGCGTCAAGTTCCTGTCGTCGATGGGACTTCCGAAGAACCTTTTGGAGATGTCCCGGGAAGCGGTGGAAGCCGGCAAGGTTAAGGAGACACACATTGCGCAACGGAAGTTGGCCTCTCGGATTGGTGAGTAGCTCAACCCTCAGCCGTCAAGTAATCAATCGCTAACAGAAGCAGACCCTCCCGCCGATGTGCTGGAGAGTGATATCCGAGTGGAGGCCAAGACGCCGATTGAATCGACGCAACCTCTGAACCCGGAGTCGCCAGCAAACAAATAGATGAGTAATGATTATAGAGCCCATGTATTTAATATACACTGATTGTATACTATTATTTTGTTTTTATACAATGCTGTGCTGTGGCTGTGGCTGCGCCTGCACCCAAAAAGTCAGTAGCTCATAAGGATATTAGAGATGTTCCAGTTGGATACGGCATATCCTCTCTAGTGGATGACCCTCTACTATATCGACCTCCCCATCAAACAGACTGCCCGCTTCCTCCCCAACAATATAACACACACCCCGAGATATCGCCGTCTAGTAGATTGTGAGTGTTGTGGCTGCGGCGGATGGAGCGGGGGCCGAGGAGGCCGTGGAAGCGCATGTACAGTATATTATATAGTATAGTATATGAATGGCTTATAGGTTGATATAGCTGTACCTGGGGAAGAGAGGTTGGGGAAAAGTTGGAGTAGCTCTGCGCTAATGCAGAAAGGAACTAAAGGCTCCACTTCACCTATCTATACAAGTACACAACTGCAACTATACAGAGGCATTCCTGAAATAATCAATCAAACTCGAAATATCATGCCCTCCCCTCCCCTCCCGCACAGCGCGTTCCACCAACCCCTTCAACGGCAGCATCACCTCCGCCGAAACCCCCTGCTCCCTACTCGCCGCGCACGCATTCTCCAGCGCAACCAGCTGCATCTCCAGATTGGACGTCTGCGCCGTATACACCCCATCATCGATCTGCCTGGCCAGCAGCCCCAGATACCCCGTCATAGCCTGCAACCACGGCGCCAGCAGCCCCAGGAACTCCGTCGCCGAGACACCCTCTCCCTCAGAGCGCACCAGCGCCGTGGCATGCAAGAACCCCGCGAACAGGCCATACATGCCCGACAGCAGCGCCAGATCGTGCAGCGAGGCCGACCCCGCATCGTCGCCTAGGTACTTGCCCGACCCGAGCACGGCGAGAACGCCCTCGACGGACGCGTAGGTCTCAGCAGACCCGCCGCCGCTGTAGAGAATCACCGCGTGCGGCGCCCCGATCATATCGGGGGTTGCCATGATGCCGCCGTGGAAGTAGCGCGCGCCGCGCGCGGAGGCGAGCGTGGCGAGGCGGCGGGCCTGGCTGGGCGTGCCGTTTGTGAGGTTGAGGATGGTTTTCCCCGCGAGGGAGGGCGGGCCCGCGGCCAGGGTTTGTTCTACGGCGGCGTTGTCGAGGAGACAGAAGATGAGGAGGGGGCTGGCGGCGATGGCGGCGGGGATTGTTGCGGCCAGGTGGGCGCCTTGTTCGACGAGGGGGTTTGCTTTGGCGGCGGTGCGGTTCCAGACTGTCGGGGTGTGGCCTTGTTTGAGGAATTGGGTGGCCATGGCGGTGCCCATGGCGCCGAGGCCGAAGATGGTCAGTTTGGTGGTGGTGGTGGTGGTAGCCATCGCTGGTTATGTTTAGTAGTGTTGATCGGTGGGTTGAGGTTGAGGATGGAGTAGAAGGATTGGGTCTTTATATAGGTTGACATCGGTTCCTGGCTGTAGCTGATGCCTGTTCTATACGGTTGATTTCCAATCATCACTAATTGTCATGTTATTTGAAATCAAACATTCGGTGAGGTTCTGATATTGTGATATTGACTTCGTGTTCTGCGATATTGGCCTTCGTATTCCAGCTTGGCTATCCACTTAGGTTGGCATTGGCGCTTACCAATGTATACAGATGCAAGACAGATCGAGCACATGAAATGACTCACAGACACATATTGGGTAAGCAGAGGAACTGGAATGACACGAGGTAGGCTCAAGGAGTCAACCGAGGAACGACAATCTATGGTGATACTAAAGTCAATGACAAGCAGAGCTAGGAACGGGTGACTACAGTGAGTAGAATATAACAGAAATGAGCGAGCATGTTGACTTCCGTTAGACATATAGAAAGCCTTACTGGTGGAATGCCAGTCACATAATGTATATTAGAGGTAAAGATGAAGACGAAGATGAAGATGAAGATAAAGACGAAACGGGTGTTGTCTACTGCGCTAGTCCTAAACAAGCTACATGTTTCAGGCTGTCTATAAATAAGGATACAAAATTCCGTCTGCACCTGCAATGCTGTCTTTGACACTCAGATACTTGCCTATTGGAATGTACTCCGTAAAGACATCGCTTCTATTCCGTCCGGCAGGATAGCATGTCATTGGGCCACATCAACGATGTACGTCCACAGACGGAACTCGGCAAACCAGCAGTTACAGACTAATGCCAGGGGACCAAAACAGTGACATGCTCCGGATGTCGCTACCCGTTGTGGTTCCACATACCGGAGTGTATTATCCCGAGTATGTACACAACAGACAAAGAAGGGAGCTTCAAGTGTACTGAGTTGACAGACGCCGACACCGTGAACATTATCCTATCCAACAACACACATATGTAGGTCGTCTGAAGCAAATCTTGAGCGTTCTGCGTAGACACACATCATAGCGGATGACTATCTCATAGGGGAATCCCGGAAACTTCTCCCTACCCCTGCACATATCTTATCATATCGAGATGCTCAGATGGCGTATCGTATAGCATCATCTATACATAGAATAACAGCTGACAGAACGGATTATGAGATGACTGCACAAGATGCAAAACAAAGGTGAGCCCGCTCAATAGTGATATTGACAGAAATAGTTATAAAGAATTGACAAGAAAGAAACGGAGGCTAGAGGGATCCCTCCGTGTATCAAGATAAACTCTTCTGGAACACAGCATCCATGTTGCAGCCCGCGGTTCCGGTCATATCAGTGACCCAGGATTCGATGAAGGTATCGGCCTCGTCTAGGGCCGCACATATGTGGCTCAGACATGACTCCGGGTCGTTACGAGCACAACGGGGACCAACCGCCGCAGTGGACGGAGCCGATCTGCTGGCTCATGTCCGCCGGCTCCCTCTGCATGTCGAGGAGGATGGACGATGAGAAAGTGTCGAAGTCTTGAAATGGCTCAAGATCTCGTCTCGAGCAAGATAGGTGAAAGACATCTCCCGCTCGTTATGTCTTTGCTGTCGGACTGCCCCCGTTCCGCCCAATATTATCCCAATACCGGGCGATCGCGTCCCGCGCGACGGGATTCCCACTAAAGCGTTTGATGAAATAGTTGAAAAGAGCAAATTCGTCACTGGTCAGGGTGTAGGTAGTCGGTTGGGCCTCGATGCGGCGCCATAGATCTGCGATGGCGGCCTCGAGGATCTGGGATGTTTCCGCATCGATATTGCCGTCTTCACAGTTTCTGGCGTGGTCCAACGCCGGACGAAAGGAGGCCTGGCCGGATGACGAGGTGGAATTGGCCATTGTGACCGGCAGATGGTGCAACGGGAGGATGCCGGAGGGGCTCTCAGGCTGGGAGGGGATCCGAAAGGGACGAAAGGAAGACCAACGGGCGGATTCGAGACGAGCTCCAGAAGCGACGAGCGAGGAGGAAACGACGGAATAAATAATCTCGTCCGAGAAATCTCTGGACGGGCAAACCTTTTTCAAATTAACGCATGTTGGGTGGAGCAGGGGGCAAGTGGGCAATCGTGGATCAAGTTTGTGTACAAGTAATAAGTATAATCATGGATAAAGAAAGAAAGGAAGGATGGAATATTAAATATGTATTAAATATGAAATGTAAATGGTCTGTCTCTTTGCCTGGCTTAGTTGTTCGGTCCGGTCATGGTAGATTGCATGCGTATGATATATGTAGTGTCTGCCGGCCTCATCCAACCGGAGGGAGCATGGAAGCATTCGGATGTCTCCCCGGAAGACGAGCCGAAACCCATCTCCGTTAGAAGAGAAAAGGGAAAAAATTGGGAGAAATTCACGACCATGTGGCGGGTGGGGGTCAGTACGGGCTTACCCGCGGGACCAGCCTGTAATCTCCCGACCCTTCCAGCTTCTTGGTGATGGTGTAACGGTTTTTCCTTCGGTTGGAACAGATCGGATTAGGGTCTCGGTAGTAGTTACCTAGGTAGGTACGGTAGTGTACCAGGTAGTGTACTCGTTTGCCCCTCCGGGTCGAGCGGCTCAAACATCGGTGTACGGAGCTTACGTGCCCTAACGTTTAGGTTGACGTCCGGCGGTCCTGGCATAATCTCCGGCCTTGACAGAGGTTCCGCTCTGGCTCTTGGCACTATGATGTTGTTACTGCGTATGCTTGTTATGAGTCGAAACACACGAGTCAAGTGGAGACATCCGAGTGGGTTTCAGTCTCAAACGCAGTTAGTGGCCGGAGTCATGGGGAGATGAAAATGACTCGCAGCTCGATAGGGCCATCGCTGCATGAGTCGTGCGCAAGGCATTCCTTTCCGACCATTTACCCGGATTCCTACTAATGACTAGCGTAGTATAGCGTAGTATAATATACACTTTATACATGTTCGCTTAGCTTAATCCTATATTTATACCTCTTTATACCTCCCTCTCAAACGTTCGGATCTTCATCCAGTACACCTCCGCCCTAACCCTTACTACCATGCCACATCTGCACCCGTCCGGTTGCCAATGGATCCGGGAGCACAACGCAACGCCGGGGGAATCGCATGGGTGACCTGTATACAACCCTCTGTCTGTTGTTTGCTCCACCAGATGCCGTTCGGATTATTGTCGGTCAATACTCAACCAATAGCCAGACGCAGTCATTGAGCTGTCTGTGTGACTCGCTTGTCTGTCGGCAGGTTGAAGTGACCCATCAGATGTCGTAAGTTGTATGCGCTGGATATGACACAAATTAGTACCAGATACTGCATTGTGCCGGAAAAGGGAGATATCTTGCAGAGCATATTCTTAACATAGGTATAGCTATAGGCTGCAGTCAGCTTGTTCTTACTATTACACCCTACAATCCTCTAAACAGAGACGAGTCATCTGTTGATTAAGACTGATAATAAACAACCCGGAGAACTCTCCATTTTATTTTCTCATAGGTACTTGGTGAAAGTATCGACATGACTAATCAGAACTATACTAGGTATGCATCGACCGTCCCCACATGTATCGGCGAAATCTGCTCCCCGCCTTTTTCTTCGGCCTTCAGCCATACCCATTGACGACATTATACTCCTCCTCCTCAACCGACAAAATGGTCTACTACTTCACGTCAAACGTCGTCTCCCCCGCGGCGTTCATCTACGTTGGAAAAGACAAATTCGAGAGTACGGTCCTCCTCCGCCCGCTCACGACACGCCGTCTGACCTGAACCCCTCAGATGAGGACCTGATCAAATACGGCCTAGAAAAGGATGTCTGGTATTGTGCCACCACCACTGCATAAACACCATCGAGCTACTGCTGATATTTGCCTCTTCGATCCCTCACAGGGTGCGTGCGTCCTCCACTCCCGATTGCGATCCTCTGCTCCCCGACCACGGACGACAGAACTAACCCGTACAGTTCCACGTCGACAACCTCTCCAGTGCACACGTCTACCTCCGCCTCCGCGAAGGCGAAACATGGGACAACATCCCCGCGCCGCTGATCGAGGACTGTGCGCAGCTCACCAAGGCGAATTCGATTGAAGGTTCGCAGGTCGCCGCGAGCGGAAAGACAAAAGACAGGGCTGACGCAGCGCAGGAAACAAAAAAGACAACATCACCATCATCTACACCCCCTGGGACAACCTGAAGAAGGACGGGTCCATGGCCACCGGGCAGGTGTCGTTCCACAACCCGCGGCTGGTCAAGAAGGTGCTCGTGGCGCAGCGCGAGAACCCCATCGTCAACCGGCTGAACAAGACGCGCGTGGAGAAGTTCCCCGACCTGAAGGCCGAGAAGGAGGAGTACCTCGCGGCGAAGCGGAGGGAGGAGCGGAAAACGAGGGAGGAGCAGCGCGCGCGCGAGAAGCAGGAGAAACGCGAGAGGGAGCAGCTCAAATGGCAGAAGAGTCATGCGTATGACGATCTGTTCAGCGAAGAGAATATGCAGGCCAGCAGCAATCAGGACCGAGATCCGGATTTTCTGGATGATTTTATGTGATGGCTGGACTGCGTTGCTTATCATCAATGGGACTCGACGATTGCATTCTGGTTCTAATTGCGCTGCTTTATTTTACGAGATAATTGACGTTAATGAAGTAAGTAGTATTGATACGCGGTTGATCCAGCGAAGAGATGCAGATTCTGCAAGGTGAACTAAGTGTGACTTAATAAACTGGCTTAAATAATATAGATTATACATACATTAAAATAGTTCTAAATATATCAAAGACAATGTACTCCGTAATGCTCATCCAGAGCAGGTCGTACTAAGCGAGATGCGGTGTTCGGAAGGAGTCCCGCGCTAGTGATGTTGACAGCTATGGCCCGTTCTCGCAGCCGTTCGCGGATTGCGTACCCCCATATCTCAGACACCCGCTCTCCCATCCCCGGAAACCACACAAAGGAAAAATGCCTGAAGGTATGAGGAACCTGGCGATACTATTGCCTGATTGTCGTGACTAATGGCTCGACTAGGCGGGAAATCGAAAAGCAAGAAAAAGAACAAGGCCGCCGCAAAGGCCAAGGAAGCGGAGAACAGCGCCGTCGAGTCCCAGGATCAATCCGCCGTGAAGCACGATGGCGAGGCGGAGGAACCATTAGAACCAAGCGTAGGGCAATGATTTTTGGAGTCAATTGACAGTCTTACTGAGACGAAACAGGACGAACAGCCCAGCACCAGCGACCAGCCCGCGACAGAGCCCCACGATGCAGCGACGAATGATAACGAGACCAACCCCGACGCTGCCTCGAAACACGAGTCCGATGACGACGGAGACGATGAAGACAACGGGAAACAAGTCGACGGCGATCCCAACCCACCCGCCGACACGCTTCAATCGGAGGACCGATTCGACGCTCTGGTACGAGACCGAGATTCTCTGCGCGCAGAAGTGACGGATATGCGGAAGTCTCTGGAGGAGATCCAGACCAAACACCGCGAAGAGATGGAAGCGCTACAGCACAAGTTGGACGATGCCGAGAGCAAAAAAGAACATGCCGAGACGCAGTTCCAGAAACTCCTGGAGCGGGTCAATACGATCAAGTCGCAGCTGGGCGAAAGGCTGCGAGAAGATGCTGTATGTCGCTCCGGTCAGGTTTAGATGCAGTCACTGACCTCGCAACAGGAGGAGATTCCCAAGCAAGGTCAAGAATCGAAGAACTGGAAGACCAGAACACGTCGTTGGAAGAGGAACTGAAGGCGAAGAGCTCTGAGATCGAGGAGCTCACCGAAGACAACGAGCAGAAGTCGAAGGAGATCTCGACCCTACGGGACCGAACGAACCTGTCCCAGCAGAACTGGTTGAAGGAGAAGGAAGAGCTCCTCGAACAGGAATCCTACCTCCAGACAGAATTCGAACAGGCCAAGGAAGCGATGCATAACTGGGAGGTCCTGGCGATGGAGGAGCGATCCATCCGGGAGAATCTGGGCGAGAAGGTGGTTGATCTCGAAGAGCAGCTCGCCAATCTCAGGGATGCCTATGAAAGGGCTGCAGCTGAACGAGATTCTCAGCAGTCGACAGTTGACGGGTTACAGCGGGCCCTGCAAGAGATCCAGACAGGTAAGAGATCCCGAGCGAGACCACGTATATAGTAGCTGACTCTTTCAGCCCGCAAGCAAGAACTCCGCGAACTTGTCGAGAGTTCCGACGCTCAAGTCGAAGAGCTCAAACAAGCCCTTCAGAGCGCCGAAAAGAAGGCATCTGAGGCAGACAAGTCTCTCCACGAAGCTCAAGAAGAGCTTGAGCGAGTGAGGCCATTCGAGAAAGAAGTCAAGGAGAAGAATCTCCTCATCGGAAAACTCCGACATGAAGCGGTGACCTTGAATGATCATCTCACAAAAGCACTACGGTTTCTCAAGAAGGGGAAGCCAGAAGACAATGTTGATAGGTATGTATGAACTTCTTATATGCAACGACCACTACTAACGGCATCAGGCATATTGTCACAAATCATCTCCTACATTTCCTCGCCCTGGATCGGTCCGATCCAAAGAAGTTCCAGATCTTGCAGCTTATTGCGGCCCTCTTAGGGTGGACAGATGGTGCGTAGACCCGAAGAACTACTGCACATTTATTTCTCAGACACTGACCCTTAATAGAGCAACGTGAGCAGGCAGGCCTGGCACGCCCTGGGGCATCAAGCAACTCCGGGAAGCTTCGAGTCCCCAGCACGCCTGTTCATCGCACCCCCAGCACGCCGTCGTTAGCCACCGAGTTCATGGACAATGGAAACGCGAGCAAGGAGTCGCTGGCGGAGCTCTGGTCCAATTTCCTGGAGCAGGAATCGCAGGCGGCCCAGGAGAGCGCACAATCAAAGCCATGATACAGGCTTGATCGTTCTCTTAGACTGTGGGATAGACTGACAGGATAGGATAATATCATTCATGTACTGTATCGATAAGCAGGATCTTATCAGACTCGTTTCTTCCCTGATGGTGGCCGTTTGCAGCGTTTGTCTCGTAATCTCCACCGCCTCAGGATTCTGCCGCACCGGGATAGTTTCTCCACGCCAGAAACGGCTGTCTGTCTTTGTATGCATTTCCTCCTGAGAGCCCGTGCTGCTGCCTCGATCTTCCGTGGCTGTCCTTGTTTCCCGCGCTTCTCTACTCGGAAAATGGCGACCAGCGCTGGTATATTCCCCTCCAACGAACCCCCTATTCCCCCCACCCATTGACGCCTCTCCCCTCATAGAATCAGACACTAAAGGACAACTCCAGTGCAAAAGTACCGACCAATCGGGGTATCCGGCCCCACGGGCTCGAGCAAATCGACACTTGCTGAATACGTCTCTTCGCCGATTTCTCGGATACATTCGGAGTCTGGGTGTCATGGTTCGTCTGCTATTATAAAGCAGATGTATGTATACTAAACTGGAATGTATACT